CTTAAGCTAGTCACACTCGTTCAGTCCAAGCAGCTTTTCAGGTCTGTTCTGAGGATAACAATTGAGAAGAGATGCTCCAACCTGAGTTCTTCGGAGGAAAGGCAAGACGAAAATCAGATTGGTACCTGAAAAGGGTGGCAGATGAGACTCTTCCAGTTTAAAATCCTGAAGGGGCATGTAGGAAAAGCCCACACTTGGGAGGCTGGTTGCTAGGGAAGGCCCACAGTAAGACTGGGAGACCCTGGTTTAAATCCCCATGAAGCTCATTGGTGGACCTTAGTGCCTTCAGGCTAGTCACACGCTTTCAGCATAACCTACCTTGCAAGATTGGAGGAGAGGAGAACAATGTAAGCCTCTTTGGGTCCCCGTTAGGGGACAAATGTGGAATATAAGTAAATAAAGTCCTTGTAACTACCAGATGTGTATGTATTTGACATGGCTACCAGGAGTTTCTCCCTGGGAACTTAATTCTCAGGTGTGCGCAGGTCCCGTTAGGATCAGGAGAATAGCTTGAGCCTGAAAAGACCATGGGGATTCACTTTTTGCTTTGCTGGGAAGATTAATGCTTAGCCATGAGTCCATGTTAACTTTATCCAGTGGGGCAGATAGCAGCTTCCCGGGGCCATTCCAGGTCATGAAAATGGTGTGAGGAGGCGAGGCTTAAGCCCCTTCCCCTATGTGCCATAGGCCCAATCTGAACTGGGCCAGTACATGTCGGGGAATTGAGTTCTTAATGGCGATTTCCAGGCACATGCCAGACAAGGGCTTTATAAGAGAGCCAGTTTGATGTAGTGGTTAAGTGCAAGGACTCTAATCTGGGAGAACTGGGTTTGATTCCCCACTCCTTCACTTGCAGCTGCTGGATGACCTTGGGAAAGCCATAGTTCTGTCAGAGCTGTTCCTGAAAGAGCAGTTCTTGAAAAAGCTCTTGAAAGAGTTCTTGAAAGAGCCCCACCTACCTCACAGGGTGTCTTTTGTGGGGAGGGTAAGAGAAAGGAGTTTGTAAGCCACTCTGAGACTCCGAGTGAAGGGCAATCTCTTCTTCTCTTTCTTCTTCTAACATATGAATCAGCCCCTACGTTTCTCCTTTTCTTGGCAATGCATTCCTTGTAGTTGCCACTTTAGTGTTCTCATCTGCTGTACCACACAGCATGTATCGTGTATCCTGGCTCAGCTGCTTCAGTTTTCCTGGGCTATCAGTTGAGCAAGGGCCATCTTTTTTGCTTGTGGCACTCTCTTGTTGGACTGCTAGATAGATTGGTGGAGGGTTCGTAGATAAATGGTCCTGCCTTTTGAGCTGGGTGTTGGACTAAAACCACATCCAGACAGTATTTTCTCCTGCAGCTGATTTGGCACTATAATGCTAGATCTGAAAAGGGAGGGAGGGTTATGAGTAGCGCAGGGGTATTTTGTTGATTCATTAGCTATAATCCTTGTGAAAACCCCAAAAGGTACAGTCATCGATTTTTTTTTATTTTTTACAATAACTGCCTAGACCTTCCGAGGCCCTTTGCACAATATAAAAACAAGTTTAATAATCACATGTATGGAAACAGATGTGCAAAATACAATTACTTGGCTCCTAAGTACCCATTCCACTTACCATAGGCTATTCCGCTTGTGATTGAGGATGAGGACGATTTTAACTCATTTCCTCTCTCTCTCTCTTTGCAGTCCCCACCCCTAATCCCCATGATGTTCTGCTGAGCCCTGGGGGGGAAATTGTGGGGGGGGGACAAATCCACCACAGGAAGGGGGAAGGGGGGGAAATCACCATTTAAGCAGTGCAGGCTGTAGCTGCTACCACTGAAAACAATTTGCACAAATGGAAACGGGGTGCGTCGTGTGTGTTGGGAGGAGCTGGTGGCTCAAATGAAAGAGCATCTGCTTGGCATGCAGAAGTTCCTAGGTGATGTGAAAGACCTCAACCTGAGACCCCGGAGAGCTGATGCCGGTCAGAGTAGATGATACTGACCTTGATGGACCAAGGATCTGACTCGGTATCAGACAGCTTCATTATGCTCATGTGTTAAAGCACTTGCTTAAATTAAACAGAATCAGTGAAAGCTTGGATTCAAAGGAGAGTTTTCCCTTGCCCCCAAGGTAGTGTCAAGAGAGCATCTGCAGTGGACAGGAGTTCCACAGTGTGAAGCGGCACCACAGGGAAGCCCTTTCCCCCTTGTGATCCCCTGCCACAACTTTTAGGGCCAGGGGAAGGGCCTGTGCTGGAGATCTCAGCTGGCAGGAAAGTTCACATTATCCCCCTATTGCCGACAGAGGGGCTGAGTGCAAGAGAGTGGCTTAGCTGCGGCTACTTGGTGAGTCTGTGGTACAGGCGAGATGTGAACCAGGACTTCCTGATTCTTAGCTGAGCGTCTGCAGTTGTCGCACTTCTCGAGGCCTCACTTCAAAAAGGATGTGGACAGAATGGAGCGGGTGCAGAGGAGAGCGACAAGGATGATCGGGGGCTTGGAGACCAAGCCCTGTGAGGAGAGGCTGAGGGACATGGGAACGTTCAGTCTGGAGAAGAGGAGGCTGAGGGGGGGGGGACACACACGATTGCTCTCTTTAAGTCTTTGAAAGGCTGTCACTTAGAGGAGGGCAGGGAGCTGTTTCTGTTGGCAGCAGAGGATAGGACTCGCAATAATGGGTTTAAATTAAGGACAGGAAGGTACCAGCTGGATATTAGGAAAAACTTTTTACAATAAGGGTAGTACAACAGTGGAATCAGCTGCCTAGGGAGGCAGTGAGCTTACCCTCACTGGCTGTCTTCAAGCAGTGGCTGGACAAACACTTGTCAGGGATGCTCTAGGCCAATCCTGCATTGAGCAGGGGGTTGGAGTAGATGGCCTGTATGGCCCCTTCCAACTCTGTGATTCTAGGATTCTGTGATTCACTCAGGCTTCCTGTAAACCCTGTTGAAGCAAAAACACTCACTCACATGGTGTCTCATTTCAACTGGGCTGCTGCCTGTGTAGAGCAGCTAAATGGGTATCTGTTTTGCATGGGTAGCAGCCCTGTTTAAATGAGATGTTGTGCAAGTGTGAAGTCTTCCACTGGTGAGTCCTTTTGCCTTGCTAATGTCATATTTAAACTAGGCCTAAGCCTTAAGTGGAACAATGTGGTGTACATTTTTTGAATAAAAACATAATAAGAGCGCTGCTGGATAAGACCAGTGGTCCATCTAGTCCAGCATCCTGTCTCACACAGTGACCAACCAGTTCCTCTGCAGGGCCAAGAACAGGGCATAGAGGCCAAGACCTTCCCCTGCTGTTGTCTCCTGGCTTTGGGATTCAGAGGTTAATTGCCTCTGATTGTGGTCACAGTGTTTAGTCACAGTGTTTAAATACACATTATTGGCTCTCCTGCTGATGGGTACTTCTCTGCCTCCCGTTTCCCCTCCAGGAGGGCTCCCCGGGGACTTTTTAAACTCCCTGGAGAAGACAGAAGATGGGAAGCTGAAGGTGACCTTGAAGTACCCCCATTATTTCCCCCTGATGAAGAAATGCCATGTGCCAGAGACCAGGAAAAAGATGGAGGAAATGTTCAACTCCAGATGCAAGGAGGTAAGGGAGGCTTGGCCCTGATTGGGCTCTTATTTATTATTTTCATTACTCATGCTTCACTTTTCTCCTTCTGAGCTTTCAAGGCAGCTTGTGGTGGCCAATCAGTGACAAACCAAACCAAATTTAGAAATAGCAAGCTGCAACACAAATGGGAAATTTTTTTGTAAGAAGCTTGGGAAAATGTTTTTCTAGTTTTGTCTTGATGTTTGAGAGAGAACAAAGCTGGAATAAATTGGATATTTCGATGCAGGAAGTTCCACATAGCAGCACCACCACCGAGCAGGCCCTGTCTCTCTGCCACCCTCCCCCCCGCCTCCGCCTAACGTCTAATCTTGGAGCACTTGTTAGCTGAACACTTCATATGTTCTTGACAACACAGGAGAACTGCCTGATCCTGAAGGAACTGGTGGATTTGCGGGCTCAGAAATCAGCTCTCCTGGGCTTCAAGACCCACGCCGACTTTGTGCTGGAGATGAACATGGCTAAGAACTACCAGACAGTCATGAACTTCCTAGGTAATGCCACTCAACAACCTCTGCCAGGCTGATCTTTCACTGCCTGCCTGCTGCCAGCCCCACAATATTCATTCTCCAGCTGCAGATCAGGAGAGGCAGCTGGAATTGTTCCGCACATCGCTTTTTGAGCTGGGACAAGAGCAGAGCTATGGCAGCTGAAGGCGGTCAGTCTCCTAGTGGCCGTAGCTCAGCACCGCAAACAAATGGCAACCCTAGCAGCTTGTACCAAATTGAAAAGCCTAGGGGAGGCTAGGTTTTCTCCAGCAAGAAACCCCTTTTTTTTGGAATTAAAAAAATTCCAATTCTGTGGGAGGAGGCACCCCCATTCTCAGCCTTAAAAGATGCATTCCCCTTCTCTCTCATGCAGGGGGGACCACCTCGTCCAGGATGGTGCTTGCTGTTGTCCGCTTTAAGTGCCATAATTCCTTTTAGAAGACACCCTGTCCAGTTACCTGAGGGAATGTTATTAGAAAAGCCCTTCAGCGGTGCCAG